TAAGCTGTTTTATTAACAGTGCATAACGCGTGTACACTTTGCTTATTACACACACAGGGACACGCAGCAGCACACAAACATTTTTAAAAATGAAAAAGAAAAATTACATTCCGCCATGTAAATAGCGAACCCGCCATGGCGCGAGCTCATTAAGAGAATAGGTACAACCCGTTTAGACCATGCACCCGGGCGTGCCGACCGTTTCCAGTCGTTAAACTAGCAAAAGTGGATTTGGACACGCTCTGAGTGCCCTGAGCCGTGCACTTAGATCGTTAAAATAGGGGGCATAATGTGGATTATCAATATTTTAATAAACAATTAACCAGTGGTGGACGAAGTACACAAATCAAGTACTTGAGTAAAAGTACAGATACGTATAATAAAATATTACTCCAGTAAAAGTAAAAGTACTCCTTTTTCAATTTTACTTGAGTGAAAGTACAAAAGTACTCCATTTTTTATGTACTTAAGTAAAAAAGTAGTGATAGATTTATTTTGCAATTTTATATAGGCTACTTAATTTAATTTTATGAAAATTACTGCTCAAAATACTTGGGATTTTCCCAAAATAACCACTATATGGAGTCAAGATATATTTTTGTTGTTGATATGGACTACATTGATGAGAGTGATGCAGTAATGTTCACTATTAAGCTTACACTGCAATGTACCTGAGAGAAAACAGATTTGACCATCTGATTTTCACCAGTCAGAAAAAAATGTTTTAAAGCTTGTTGTTTTGCAAAACATCACAGTTATATATGACATGAGAATAAGGCCTGAAGTTAGGAAGAACATCTTAAGGAAAATATAATTATATTTTCATAATGATTTTTTTTGTCAAATTGAAGGTTGTGAAAGATGTCCCCTGTCCCACTTACAAAAACACCGCCCACTGAGGCATAGCAAAAAACGAAGAAAATTTGCACTTTCCCCACGGTCCCTTACCGAAAGCTGCGCGAAGAGCGAGCTCTCCCGGCTTAATGCACATTGCGACGGCTTGTGCGGGGCAGTGCTTATTACATCGAGCGAAAATTATGAAAAGGGAGGCTGTGAAACATGATCAGCTTTGCCCTTTTGGCGATTACATTGATTCGATTTTTTTAGGGCAAGTCGTTTTGGAGTTATTGCCGTTTATCGCTGAATGTGTCACGAATATCGAAAACAAAACTAACTTAACCCCGCTGATAATTACTGTAGTTACCATGTTCTGAACATCACATCCTTTATTTTCCCCCAGATGTAATCTATCTAGATGGTTGAATAAAAATATTTGGACTTTATATCTAAAAATCACCTCAACTTAGCACCAGCAAGCTTGTTAGCTAGACAGTTAGCATCAGCTAACAATATTTACTTATTTTCGGTATGGTTATGAATAAATATTCATATCTGTCTACTCGGCTAGTTAATCCAAACAATATAAAAATGTATACTGTTGATAAACAATATAAAAACATGTGTCACATAGGACTAAATGCGTTGCACTTTTTTATAAAACTGTTAACGTTACGGCAGAGTGGGAATATGAACGTGAATGAGTTATTTTATTTAGTCTGTGTTATTTTAATGTTTCGTTTTTTTTACCTAAAACATAGAGACACTGATGTTGATGTGTCTGCATTGAAGCATTTTAGTGGGCTTAAATAGATCACCCTTTACAGCAGATTTAGTTCACAAACAACTGACAGTTTTGCCCTATATATCATTTTCAGTTACAATAATTAATCCTAAAATTCGACATTAATAACTTACTTTTAGCAGCATCAGTCGCGCGCGTGCTCACAAGATCTCCAGGTTCTTACTTGTGAATTCAGTTCACTGGAGACTCGCACTAAACGGTTAATTTGAATCAGTGAGTTGTCGACTCGAGAACAGCTGCAATCGGTTCATTCTAATTCGTGAATGAATTGTTTGGTGCGATTTGCGAACCGATTTAACGGGTTCATTGAAAAGAATCAGTTCGTTCTTGAATCAGACACCACTTCTGCATCTCGGAGCACATGATATATTATAAGGAGTAACGATATGTTGTATGAAATGTAGTAAAGTAAAAAGTACGATCTTATGCTTTGGAATGTAGTGAAGTAAAAGTAAAAGTTACTCAAAATAAAGCTACCCCAGTAAAGTACAGATACTTGAAAAATTTACTTAAGTACAGTAACGAAGTAAAACTACTCCGTTACTGTCCACCACTGCAATTAACTTAACATAAATTCATTATCCAGTATATATGAGTTTTCTAAAAAACAAAACAATTTTTTCTTAATAATTGTAATTAGAAACATTTATTGTTGTCCTTATGGCAAGGTGTACTAAATATAACCTTGCCGTAAGCTGTTTTATTGACAGTTTGTCAACAAATTAAATATTTTAATAAACACAACTTAAAACCAGAATATGTTTTATAAAAGTATTCATAATCCACATTTTAATGCTTCATATATTGTTTTTCATAGTAATTGTACTTATAAAATCACATTTATTATATTCAAAAACATTACAATACTCATCTAGTAATGCAACAATAAAATTTTTTAAATGTTAGAATGTGACTGATGTACTTGTTGATCATATTGCTTTGATGCATCATATTCTTTAAAGCTATAACAATAAATGTGCATTTATAAGTATTATACTTATTGTGAAATTGTGTATTATAAATGATTAGATGATATAAACTCTGGTTACAGCTAAAGGCTATAAAAGCACATTCAACTTATTACAAGGTGCGTTAGAAGGCATTATATGAATACTTATATAATGCATTATATATACACAAACACACTTCAATTTGCATTGCTATTTTTTCCCCATTATTCTACACTCAGAAAAAAAGTATAAAAGCTGTCACCGGGTTGCTACCTTTTCAAATGGTAATTTTTTGTATTTTATTTATCTCTAAAAGATGCATATTAGTATCTTAAAAGGTACATATTAATATCTAAAGAGCACATATTAGTACCCAAATGGTACATATCAGTACCTTTAGAAAAGGTGCAGTTAGAGCTTTTGTACCTTTTTTCTGAAAGTGTACGTTTGTTTACCCAGAACATGCTGATTTATAAAAACAGATAAGTACAGGACTATTTATGATCTTTTTTTTTCTTTACAAAACACTGTTTTGTCTCAGAATGGCAGCTCTGACCCAGTGACCCAAGCATAATAATTCACAATATCTCTGTGACTTCATAGCAACCACAAGAAGTTGAAGCAGTACAACAAATCATTTCGGTTTGGACATGCGCAAAGGGTTATATCTGATCTGACAGCAGTATAACAGGATATATGATAAATGTTTACATCGTGTGTGTGTGTGTGTGTGTGTGTGTGTGTGTGTGTGAATAATAGCCTGTGTGGTGTCTGTTGATTTATTTAGAAACTTATATGTATACATAATCTTGATCTGACAGCAGTATAACAGGATATATGATAAATGTTTACATCGTGTGTGTGTGTGTGTGTGTGTGTGTGTGTGAATAATAGCCTGTGTGGTGTCTGTTGATTTATTTAGAAACTTATATGTATACATAATCGTTTGCCTTTATTAATGCAATGTTTGGTAGAGGCCAATGAGTAGATGTGTTTATTTGAAGTTCAAGATTAGATACAGGAAAAGAGAGGCTGTTATGTTCGTGTAGAGTCATATTTGTAGCCTTTTTTTTGTGGTAAAGCATTTTTGCTTTTAAGCTACTTTAAATTCACACAAATAATTGGAAATGACAATGAACATTGATGGCAAAGCATTACAAGTCCCAGGTGAGTTCCCAACAGATGGCAAAAAGAGACCTTTATACAATTGACTCTCATTTGCATCACACTTGTTTTTTTTTTTAAAAAGAGAACTCAGAGGAGACAAAAAACACGCAGAAAATATCCAGCTGTGACTGCGAGCAGCAATTCTAGAACACCATCTGCATGTGAACTGACCTTTTACACAATGCGAACAACTCACGATTGAAGCATTTATTTACACTTGTACACATATGCGTAAACAACATGCACAACGGGCGCATACAGGTAACCTGTCACTCATAATTCATTTGGCTCGTTTTTCCACAGTCATTTTTGCCACCTGTTCCTGAGGGACATTGTCTCTTATGATGATATTATGTGGATAATTGCATACCTGGACCTTTCTCATTATTGTATGATCAAATATTATGGGCATTGATGAGATTCACTGACAGTGCTTCCGTTTTTTTATTCATCAAAATGAATACATAAATAAATAAATAATTCCAAACTTATATGCTATGTTCTGTGTAAAACAAGACATGCTGTACAACAACTCATAGTGACCACATTTACAAAAAAAAAAGTTACTGTTCCAGATATATTCCAATTCTACTGCCATACGATGTGTTAGTGTTAACTAAAACCTTTAAAAAATCATTTTGAATTAATTAAATTAAATAAAGCTCAAATAAAATATAAATATGAGATGAAAAACGAAATTAGAAATGTTACCTTGGCTATTTTAATATCACTCAGATACAGTTTAAAGTAGTTTTTAATCTTACATTTTCAGTTTTCATTTTAGTTAGTTTTAGTCATTTTGTTGTTGTTTTTCATTTTTAATATCTATATAGTTTTTATTCATTTTTATTTCAGTTTATTTCATTTTAGTTTATTAAATTAATCTTGTGGGCAACTAACTGAAATGTAAGTGCTGAAATTACAAAACTTTACAAAAACTTTAAAAAATAATGCTAAATAAACTAAAACAAATAAAAATGACAAAAGCAGATACAATTTCAACTAAAAATTCTACTAAAATTAAAATGAAACTGAAAATATAAATGCTAATTCAAAATATAAATACATATTTTGATAGAACAATAATATAAATACTGAAATAACACTGACTATTCCTTTAAAACAGTACCATTTTACAATCCAGTCTCATTTTGCTGCATCACTGTGAACTGATGACCTTGAAATACAAAACACAAATTTAAAAGCCGTTATGGTTTTCTCTTTCTGCATTTCTCTTTCAGATGTGCAGCATATTAAACAAAGGGACATTGTTCTGAAGAGAGAGCTGGGCGAGGGAGCTTTCGGGAAGGTGTTTCTTGCCGAATGTTACAACCTCAGCCCCACCAAAGATAAGATGCTGGTGGCTGTGAAGGTGAGGCATGTTTTTGCAGTTAAAAGCACCTTCTTCTGGCTTTGCCTTTTCTCAGAATAGATGCACTTCTCCTGTGCACTCCATTCCATTACCAGGAATGTGCATTATGAAAGTAAAGTACATTCCTGCTCTCATTTCACACAATCTAAAAATGTTTGGGTCAAAATGTCTTTTTTTACTTTATAGGCTTTAATTATATTGTATGTTACATTATATTATTACATTCAGAAATAATGTAGGTTAAAATAATGGTAAATAAAAGCAAAATTACAAACACAATTAGGCTATTTTAGTTCCCTTCTCTCCACAACAAATCCTCTAAAGGTGTATTTAGGCTATATAAGCATCAACCAAAAACAAATTAAAAACCGACTCCAATAGGAGTTATATAAAAAATTGTCCTGGCTATTCCAAGCTCTATCATTGCAGTCAGCGGGTGTTGCAGTTGAACAGTCCACAAGTCATCAAATAAAGTGCGCGCATCCATAATAAAACATGCCGCACACGGCTCCGGGGGGTGAATAAAGGCCTTCTGTAATGAATGCATGCATTTTTGTAAGAAAAATATCCACATTTAAAATGTAATAAACACTTTTCTCTCACTTCCGGTGACTAATTTTCATTTTTGGGTGAACTAACCCTTTAAAAGCAAAACTGAAGCCTACCTCTCTCATTCTGCACGAATCCAAATGTTTCCATATTCGCAAAGTATCTGGATGTTAACCTATTATTTATTATGTAAACTATAGGCTTTGTTCTTCACCCGCATTACGTAAAACATCATCCTTCACATAGCCTAGGCTACAGTATATCATCAGTGAGGCACGCACTGGTCACACTGAATGGCACAGACTGTACTACGGACTAATTAAATTGAGCGGTGTAACTTTTTATGTTTCTTTAACTGTATTTTATTTTGATGAATGAATGAAAAGACTGCGATGTCAAATTAGCAAAAATTTGTTGTATGTGCGTGTGAGGCACCGACGCGATAACTGCATTGTTTTCCCAACTGTTACTCCATAATGCTGGTTGGTCATACAGATAGAAGCAAAACATCATTCAAAACTGTAAACCTTTTGCAAAATAAAGAAAACGTCTTTCTGCCATCTCATTTTTTCCCCCCGTGAACTTCGGAGCACGTTATAATTATCTGAAACTCATCCCAAATTTTTTCTTTCGTTTTGTTAACCTGTTAATGATTTAAGTGAAATATATTTTGTGTATAGTACAATATATTCCTTTTTATGTAGCCTATATAGTTGTATTCTGTTTTCTCCGTTCACAGAAACGCTGCAGGTGTGTGATGTGACCTTGTGTGTATCCGTGTTCTACACTGGTTTCAAACAAAAAGCTGCATATTACCTGCCATTCATTTTCACTTAAATGTAGGCCTAATGCTTGGCGGTTTGTGACATCCTCGGATAAACTCTAATGCTGTTGCATTGCCATTGTGACTTACCTATGATGAATTTACAGCTGAGCGTGGGCATTTCACTCGTTGGATGATGTCACGTTTGAATAGGCCGTACTATGCCGTCTGACAAACTATTTTTACTATTTATTTTGTTTTGGCAAGTATTTAATTATTTAGAAAAATGTTGGATTATGCAACAGACATGCAACTTGTTGTCTCCATGCAGTTAATTAATAAACAGGTATCGGCCCTTCTCATGCTATTTCCGATATGCCGATGGATTTAAAAGAATCAAAAATCGGCCGATAAATATCTTATTTTGTATCGATAAATACATCAGTGCATCCCTACTAAAAACCGAGCATCACCCTACTGTACATCTTGCTCTTGTTGAATCCAAAATAACTGAATGCAGTTTTGTGTTCTTACTGATTCCTAATAGAATGGCAGAAGGGTGTGTGTGTTTGTGTATAGTGACAAAATCGTCTATACTTTATCACAAACTATTTTTGTGTCCAATGTAAAATATGGGTGCTTTTGAAAAACCAGTTAAGAACTGGTCTAGAACTTTCTAAGGCCAATAACATCATTTAACCATTGGAAAGCACTCTCCACATATTGGTTTTCCACTGATGTCCAATGTAAAATATGGGCCCTTGAGAACAGGTCTTCTAGAACGACTTCTTAATGCCAATATTGTCATTTAACCATTGGAAAGCATTCTCCACATCTGAACTTCCTCCTGTAATCCAATGTACCACCTCACCAGAGCGATTGAAACCATTACATCATAAAGATAACCGAAGATGCTGTGAAAATAATCCAGTGTCTTGAGGATATTTTATGAACCTGGGGCTGTCAGGGCAGCTCCCTGGCAGGACGCTGCGACAGAAAGACAGTGCGTCAGAACTGTGTTGAGTGGCATGGAGCTAGCACTTACCCTGACGGAAATGAGTGCTTCACCATTTGTGTCATATACGCCATTCTCTGATGATGCCTCCCTCTGCTTGTGTCAGGGAGATCAGGGGAATTCTGTAATTAAAATCAAATTTCATCATGTGCCATTCAGGCTAAGTTATCATTTAATTGGTAGGAGCAGGACTCACAGTAAGAAGGCTAGTAAGCGCTTTGGAGTGCCTGGGAAGATTAAATGGTTGTGTTTTTGTTATGCTATAAATGCTTTAATAAGGATATCTATCCTACACAGTTGCCTGGGATTATACAGTAGATATATACAGTAAAATGTTATCACATTTCCTATATGGTAAAAATGTATTAAAGCAAATTGATCTAGGTCTAAAAATTTGCATTTCCCAGAAAGTGAGATGTAATTTGTCAGATGGGAAATGTAATGCATGTAATGTTAGGTTAAGCTGTGTCAGGAAAGAAAATTACATATATTCTTGCAGAATGTTGAAAATTGTTATAATATGTTCTTCTGCCATCCGATAAAGCCATGCAATTGCTTTGTCTTTCCTGATAACAGCATGCAAATTTGACATCAGGATGTATGAATAAATGTTGTAACTTTCAGTTTTGAGAGAACCATTTTTAACAAACTATTAAAAATTATTTGTTAATTAAAATACAGCAGAAATAAAATAAAATATTTATATTAGATAAACTAAAAAGTAAAAAAAAAAACAAAACAAAAAAAAAAAACAAGAAAATAGAAATGTTGCCATGGTAACTAACTGAAATAAAATAAGTTTAATCTGAAGCACTAAAACTACTAAAACTAAAACAGAAATAAAAATAAAGCTACATATCAATATTTACAAAAAAGGAATAAAAAAATTACAAAAGCACATAAAAATACTAAAACTTTTAGAATTAAAAATGTATGACATACTGAAAATGTATCATCAAATTTCTTGTGCATGCTGAAAATTTTCTGTAAAAGCAAATTTATCTTGGTCTAAAAATGTGTGAGTCAATTCGGTATGTATGTATGAATGAATGAAAGAATAAACAAAAAAAATAAATTAAATAAAACATTTTATAAAATAAAATAAAAATATTTACCATAATGATAACTGCTTTCAGCAAATGCAATTATAAATACTACTTCAAAATGTTGAAAATTTAAATCCAAATAATATGCTGCAAAATAAGACATTGCATTCTGATTTATTACCTGTTTATATTCATTCTTCTATTTGAAAACTCTCCATTTAACTTAGCCTTTAACATGAAACAGTTTATGCACTGCACCACTTTTGTTTTGAGAATTCATGCTATGGACTTTTGTTGTATGTTTTTGTCTCATTTCAGTTTATGGCAGACATCCTGAAATGCAATTAGGCATATTAGTTTAACCTCCATCTCATTTCTCCTTGCTTAGAGGACGACTTCAGTAAAAGCGTGGCATCCTGCTCTCCGCCATGCATTTGTTCTTGTCTGTACATCTCCTAGAGTAAACATACTTTCTGTTTCTCAGACTCTCAAAGATCCCACCCTGACTGCCAGAAAAGACTTCCAACGGGAGGCCGAGCTCCTCACCAACCTCCAGCACGAGCACATTGTGAAGTTCTATGGCGTGTGTGTGGACGGCGACCCTCTCATCATGGTGTTTGAGTACATGAAGCATGGAGACCTCAATAAGTTTCTGAGGTATTTTTATTGGGATTTCAGTGGGAAATATAAAGCACAGGCTCCTTGAAAAAATATGCCTCCAAAAATGTACCTTTAAATTAATTCACTCCATTTTTCAGATGAAATTAACACTAGAGATAGTAAAACGCCAACAACTATTATTCTTTTTCTAACAAATTATGATTATGAGGGCAGGTTATTGATTAATAAAATATGTTATGACCTCAAAATGCTTGTACTATAGCACATGCTTTGTAAACTAATACATTTTGATGTTTGCATCACATAAGCTCCATATGTATGGCTTTTTTAATGTAGTAAATGTCTCGGTTACGTACGTAACCCACAACCTGAACACCATCACAACCCTGTGGTGCTGCAATTGTTGACAAGCCGTGGCGTGCCACAAAAGCTACGCTAAGGTCGTAACCTTCCCAAAGCCCCAGCGCAAATTCACTGACCTTGGTACCGAAGGGGACCAACTGCGAGTACATCGTTGCTGGAGAAGGCCATGCTGCTGTTCCGTCCACAAAAAAGTTTTTGGAAGGGATTTCAACCTTCAGTGAAAGATTGCTTCAAATATTTCCTATTTGTTCTTTCAGACTGGCAGAACGATGGGGAAGCGAGCCTTAAGGGAAAAGATTGCAACGGAGACCACATCCTACCCATAGGGAGGTGACATGTGGAAATACTGATATGGACTGACCCAGGGGGCAGTACTACATATGAAATGGGTCTCTGAGGCAGGTCCTACCTTAGAGTAGGGATGAAACAACTTCCAGAAGAGACTGACAGAGCGGGTCTGTCAAGGGAAGACATGGGTTTACCGAGAGGGAAACCTTACCGTGGAAGAATACACATATGGGATTACCCGTAGGGAATCAAGCCATATGGACACCTAGCCAAGTACAGGGGCTGGCCGGGACTCCGGGCATGATAACACCAGTTCTGGGCCTGGCCTGGCCAAGTCTGACTGCCAGGGGTGCTGGAGGATGCTCGACCAGGGTTCGCCAACCAGGGAACTCTACTGGGAGAAGAAAGGCTCTCACATCCCCATGTGAGGGGGAATGGCGCAGCAAGCGTGACACCGAGCCAGAACTTCCCACCAATTACCTGTTACCCAACACACGGGAAGAATCCGACTCTACATGAAGGTTGTAAAACCTTGCGAAGGTGTTAGGTGTTGCCCAGCCCGCAGCTTGACAGATGTCTGCCCAAGAGGCGCCGTGCGCCAGACCCAAGAGGAGGTAACACTCCGAGTGCAGCGGGCTCTCACCCCCAGGGGGCACGGCTCGCCTTGGGCTTGGTACACCAAGGCAATGGTATCCACCTTCCAGTGGGCCAACCTCTGCTTGGAGACAGCCTTCCCATTCTGCTGGCATCCAAAGCAGACAAGGAGCTGCTCAGAGCTTCTGAAACTCTGAGTGCGGTCCACATATATGTGTAATGCTCTTACGGGACAAGCAACGCCAAGGCTGGATGGCTTGCAGGTTCACCACCTGATCTCGAAAGGGAGTGGTGGGAACCTTGGGCACATATCCAGGCCGGGGTTTCAGGATAACGTGAGAGTAGGCCAGCCCGAACACAAGGCACTCTTCACTTACCAAAAGTGCTTGGAGGTCCCCGACCCTCTTGATGAAAGTGAGCGCGATCATGAGCGCTGTCTTAAGAGACAGGAACTTTCGCTCAACTGAATCAAGCGGCTCAAAGGGACCCCTCTGAAGTCCAGCCAGGACAATAGAGAGATCCCAGAAGGGTATCAGGGGTGTCCTAGAAGGATTCAACCTTCTGGCACCCCTCAGGAACCTAACGATCAGCTCATGCTTTCACAGGGACCAGCCGTCCACTGCATCGTGATGTGCTGCACATCGAGCCAACGGCAGAACAGAAAGAAAAAGATTCCCTGCCCGGCCCTCCTCCGGGGGAAGAAGCGGTGCTGTCCTCAGCACCTCCAGAAGAGCAGTATCCCACATCTCTGGGTTACCCATGTCAGGGCCGCTTCGTCATCTTCCTAGAGAATCTAGTGGCCGGATGCGACACGGGAGGCCGGTGTGGAGGACGCAGGAGGGCACCCACAGCGACGAGCAGGCTGAGACACGGCCCGCGACGGAACGGTGACAGCTGGAGGATCACGTCGGGGCAAGATGTGATGTATGGCCTCAGTCTGCTTGTTGTACTGCTGAGAACTGCTGGGCACAGCCCTCGACAGCGTCGCCACTCAGGCCAGCCTGGGAGATGGGAGCGTCAAGAAAGCGCACTTTGTCAACGTCTCTCATCTCGACCAGGCTGAGCCAGAGATGGCACTCCTGGACCACCAGAGTGGACATCGCCTTCCCGAGAGACCGCGTTGTGACTTCCGTCGGCCAGAGGGCGAAGTCAGTTGCTGTACGCAGCTCCTGCATCAACCTCGGGCCGGTACTCCCCTCGTGCATTTGTTAAGGCCTTGGTTTGGAGAGCTTGCAGGATTGCCATGGCATGCAGGACAGAGACAGCCTCACTGACTTCTCACCCCTTCCGCAGCGCTTGTCCTGTGCGGATGCTGGGTGATTCTGCTGGCAGCTGTGAGCATCAGGGTGATTCTACCCGAGGGGGGCAGCCCCACCGAATCTTCATCCTCAGAGGTCAACAGCCCATCCCCCGATGCTGCAATCAACATCTGATCCCCCGGCGGCACACCGAATGACATGCTGGGACTGCCATAAGACAGCCCAGCAGAATCACCCAGCAGCCGCACAGGACAAGCGCTGCGGAAGGGGTGAGAGTTCAGTGGGGCATGGACCGGCGGAGAAGCTCTCACTGTCAACCTCAAATCTCCCAGAGCACTAGCCGGCAGTCCTCTGCTCGTGGCAGAGCAACCGGGACGAGTAGTGACAGAGGGGTCTGCTCCTTTCCTTTTAAGAATGGAGAGACGCGATTGCAGTGTTGCCATGGTCATGCACTCACAGTGCGGGCATGAACCATCCATGAACATGTCTTCAGTGGGCTGAATGCCCAGACACGGAAGACAATGCATCCAGAAGGACACGGACGAAACGGCGTCTTTAAAAAGACACGAATCGTCCGTGATTTGCTCTTTTAGGAAATCTGCTCTTTTAGTTGAAGCGCCCAGGGGAATTGCTGAAAGGGACACCGCTGTTCGCGCCGTACCGCCAACCAGAACAGCTTCCCGACACACAGCAGATGAATGGCTTTGTGGAGTATAACAGCTTTTTATACAACCACTCGGCTCCGAAGCAAAAATCTGAAGAGTGGATGCACCTGTCACCTATTTATACCTGTATGCACGGGGAGTGGCTCAGGTATGCAAAATCCACTAGCCAATTTTCATTGGCGATTTCTCTTAAACTCAGAGATGATTGGTCTCCCAAGTGAGACCCCATATGTCGTTCGACATAACTCGTAGTGACCGACAAATAGGGAACTTGCTTGGTAGACCACCTGGTACAGTATTGCACTTGCAGGTCAGCCCTGTGAAAACACAAGTCGAGATAAAACAGCTCAACGGTTGATTTAGCAAATGCGTTTTTATCTCATGTTTACTTTTGATAACACTAGGTTTAGGGTAAGATTTAGAGTAGATGGTCATTTTTTTCCAAAAGTGATAGAATATTAACCTTTCAGTTCCACTCACTGGACATTGTCATCACATGTACAACAACCAAACTAATAAAACGTTGCCTTTAGGATAAATAAAAATGGACAGAGAATTATGCTTAATAGCATAGCCAAGATAATTTGATCCTTGAGCAATTTAAAGCATTACTGAGATCTCTTCTGAAAATGTAAGACTTTTTGTTCTCCGGTTCATGTTATCACTGTAATTCAGATATTAAAGAGATTTGAAAGATTTACTGATGGGAAGTAGTGATATATAATTTAAAATGTTTAATTTCGCCATTTCAAATATGAGACACATAAGGTTACTGCTCAAATCAATCAATTATGAAGTTTCTTTTCAATGCTGTTTATGTAGACAGCTGCCCATGTAAGCATTAGATACTGAAACAGCTCACTAGGATTTGAGACACAAGATTCTATTTCAAAATGGCAGCTCATGTTTGAACTTTTTTGTATGCATGTCGCAAGGTGGATTGAGGCCATGTGAATTGTAATTTGCAGGGGAGAACTGTGAAAATATAAAGACAGATAGAGAACTGGAGTGAGATGATTGTCTTGTGGGAGCAAAGTGATGGGTGATGATAATAAATTATTCTTTTGTATAGGGAGAGAATTTTTTCTTACACTTATGCAGATGGTCGGACTTGCATTTCAAGAAAAAAAATGATGAAATTCTTTTTAGAAAAGCTGCAATGATACAAGTCTAGTTGATTTTCATGGACAGCAAAAGAATTTTGGCAGCAGACTCCAGTTAAGTTTATGCTGATGATTTGTGTGTTGAATTAAAGAGATTTAGCGAGAACTTAGGTAAAGCATATTAGACAAGTCATAGTACATAATTTGAAGAATAGTGCACAATAGTGTACTGCCTTGTTTTATTCAGCAGCCTTGGTTAGGATTTTTTTTCTCCGTTCATTTACTCCATAGACATTTCAAAAATATTCTTCAGTAGTTTTAAGTTCAGTTATAAACTAACCAACAGCTGAATCCCAACTTGTGGTTTGGTTTGGTTCATGACTCACAAGCTTTGATTTGAAGTAAAAGTAAAAACATAAAAGAAGTAAAAAGCATAAAAGTATTTGAAATGGTAACCCTTATGTACAAGGTAAAGACTATGTATGTAATCAAATCATAAATAATTATTTAAAACTAATGACTAAGTTGTTGATTATACACTAACATCAAAAAATTTGTGGGATTATTTTTTTTGAAGAAATTAATAATTTTATTCAGCAAGGATGCGTCTCCTTCTCCTGTATTATTGAGCCAGTTCTTATGTATGGTGCAATTTGTTTTTTTCATATGCTTAAAGCTGCTAATAGGAACAAACTTTTAAAGATATATAATTTGGCTAGTAGGATTATTGGTATTCCTACTCCTAAATTATCAGACTGTGTTGCTTCAGCTACAATCTGGAAAGCACACATAATCCTAAAAGACCCAGATCACCCACTCCATCTGTATTTCATCCCTCTCCCATCTGGCCGTACCTATGTGTAGAAGGACTAACTTTAGTAAGAGTTTTGTTCCTACAGCTATACTAACTTTAAACACATAGGAAATCAGCCATCATTTTACACTCTTGCATTTTTTTATTTTTTTTTTGTGGGGGACGTAACTGTTCGTGAATGTATTGTGACAAGTGTGTATATTATGTATAGCTGTCCTTGTGATTTATACGCACCTTCTAAAATTATAATAGATATAAAATGATCTATCTATCTAATCAAAAATGGCAGTAAAAAAAATTATATTTAAAAATAAATGCTGTTCTTTTTAACATTTTATTCAACATAGAATCCTGAAAAAAATGTCTCACTGCTTTCACAAAATACGTGCCTCTACATAAATTTTAGCAACAGCGTAATTGCATACCTTACTGCACGTTTTGCGGCAGTTTCAAAGTACAATGTCCAGAGAGTGGTGCTAAAACACATTCAATTCGTGACCGTGGCACGTTTTTATGATGTTGGTACAGGCACGTATTGCTGAGTTTTTATTACGCTGCTTGAGGTATGTATTGCGGATATTCAGAATTGAAATATCCAGGGAGTATCACTTAAGGTTAATGCTCTATCATGTTGGAAATATCCCTTACACCAAACCCAACCCTAAACCTACCCGATAGTGTTAACAAATGCAAAAGTGATATAAAAACACATTTGACACATAAAAACACGCTGCTGAAGAGGCACTGACCAGGAGAGATGCACAAATTACAGTTGAGCCCTTTTGAACAGCCACCTTATGCAAATGCTGCCGCAATCAGAAAAAAATGTGAAAATCAAGAAATTAGAGAAAATCAGAAAAGTTAACTGAATAGGTGATTTTATTTCGCCAGGCAGCTGAAGTCAAAGCACATCTTTCTTTGCCTTGACTTACTCAAATTAGACAGCTTTACAGGATTAAAGGATTAGAGGGGGAATTATTTTATGGGGCAGTAAGGCAGTGCGTTTGAACACTTCGACCCTGTGCCCTTTTACATTGATCCATAATCAATTTTCCCTACTTGGATCCTAAACGCAAGTAATTGCAAACCTGGACGAAGCTCAGCAGTGAAGGACAATTACTGTCCAGACTAACAAGTGTAACCAATATGCCACATCTCCCCACATTTCAGAGCCCATGGTCCAGACGCCATGATCCTCGTGGATGGCCAACCGATGCAGTCTAATGGGGAACTTGGTCTCTCGCAGATGCTTCATATCGCTACACAGATAGCGGCAGGCATGGTCTACCTGTCCACCCAGCATTTTGTGCACCGTGACCTGGCCACCCGCAACTGCCTCGTGGGTAACGGCCTGCTCGTGAAAATTGGAGACTTCGGGATGTCCAGAGACATCTACAGCTCAGATTACTATCGAGTAAGTATCACAATAGCTTAAAGTGGTCATATGATGCAATTTCAAGTTTTCCTTTCTCTTTGGAGTGTTACAAGCTGTTCGTGAATAGATAAGATCCCTAAAGTTGCAAAGACTAAAGTCTCAAACGCAAAGAGATATTCTTTATAAAAGTTAAGACTCCTAAAACACCTCGTTTAATCACGCCCACACATGTCTACATCACTGTGTGGGAAGATTTGCATAACGCCGCCCAAATGTTCACGCAAAGAAAGGCGGTGTAACTTTGATTCTCGCTGTAGTATTGTTGCCGCAACTACCACCACCATGTCGTGGAGACGCTGTGTGTTTTGTTGTGAAAGCGAAACTACTTTGTTTGGTCTTTCAAAAGAGGACACAACTAGAAATCAGTGGTTAAGTTGTATTTACTGTTCCAGAACAGTTCAAACCAAATATTTGTGTGTGTGCAATGCATTTTTTACGGAGGACGAGGACTGTTTCCTGGGAGAGTAGCCAACAATGCCGGTGTTCCGGTGAATTCCGTTCCCCTGTTTTCCTTTATTTGTGCTAACAATAGCAACCCATTAGATCGAGTTAAATGCCAAGGACAGCAAAATATTCCACTGAGAAATTGGATTGTGGAGTGAGTCTTCGTATTCAAGCCAGTCGTAAGCTGAAGGCCAGAAACATCTTTATCAGCTGCACATACACACGCTTACTCACAGTCTACAATATTGACAAAGCAGAGAGATTACAAAATTATTACCGCATTGGACACGTTCACTGTGTCAAGTGATTATAAATAGGGGATCCTGCCAAGCACGTAATCCACACATGGCGAGTCATATTGACGTTTGTTGTCCTCTGGGGCTCGAGCGTCTGGCCACAGGAATGGAGCATGACTGGAAGAGAGATTGAGGTACTGTCATCAGTGACCAATTCAACCACCTTTGTCAAGACGTTATAAGTGGCACATCGACGTCCTGTCACCTAATGGCCTGCCAAGTATCTTTTTGCATGAGATGTTTTTGATAACTCTGTTTAGAGCCTCCAATTGTAGTACAGAAACGGATTCAGGGAAAAGCACAGGCTCGATCCCTCAAACACGCTGCGGATTAATTTAGCTGTCGTCTTGGGTTTTCTTCACCACAAATAGCTGATTACATGCTATAAACAAGTGAAATGTACAGGTCGCCCTGTCATTTTGGTTTTTAACACCTTGTAAATAAACCACTCATGACATTAAATGTCATCACATAGGCAAGGTTTTCTTTTGAAGTCTTTAAAGGTCAGTTTTTACTTGAAATTCAGCCAAATTCGGTTTTAAATGGTTGGAGAAATCCGTTATCGCCCATGGATGCATGAATCTGCTTCCCTGGTTACGAAGTATAAAAGCGTAAATGCCCAGAGAGTAGCTCTAGTGGGGCTGTAATCCATTCTCCACCATGCTGCTTTGCTCTTCATACCCATAATCCAATCTAGCCCTCTACCATTGAGCCACAGACTAGCCGGTAATCCAGTTTACAAACTACCAAAATAAAGCAAAAAAACATGTTGCCTTCTTCCTGAAACCCACACCATGCTGACGGAATGGAAATATGGTCAATCAGCAGAGCGATTCTTCATTTTCCGCTTTCAACCTTTTATTGTCTAATGGGCTTGTCAATTTCCAAACTGCCAAGATAATTGCTCCAGTCTCAACCACAAAGCCCAAGGTGATACAGTGGATAGTGGTTTGAATGATTGCTTAACCAATTTTAATTGCTCGTCTTAATGAGATATTTGAAAGTAATTTACATTATTTAAGGGCCGGGACATGTGTGAGTCTCCTGTAAGTCTATTATTAAGATCACTGTTACTCAGCTCGTTTAAATGATCAATTAGCAATTCACATGAATGTATCCAGTAACTCTAATACGATTTGAAATACAAATTAAGGTGAGACACATGTAGGCCACCAGGTACTATAACATAGAGCACAATGAACGATAGATAGATAGATAGATAGATAGATAGATAGATAGATAGATAGATAGATAGATAGATAGATAGATAGATAGATAGATAGATAGATAGATAGAAATCAGTTATATGAATTTTCTTTTTTATCTTTCTTAATCCTACTTATACTGCATCAATTCAAATTAGAATTTAACAGTCAATCAACAATGCAAGACACTTTTTTTTGCAGGTTTTTATAGATGAAACTTGCTGATTACTAGAGATGCCAGAACATATTGATGTTTTTAATTAGCTACACTTTCAGATGTATTTTTTAGTAAAACACATTTAGATTTTGTTCCATGCAAAAAAAAAAAATCTAATATCACAAATGAGATGGTTTCACAGCAGGGGTACTGCAGTGAACTGATATGTGAGGCATCTGCAATGTATAATGCAGCCTTTTATTTCACTACATCCCTCCCTAGGATTCTGAATTAAAGAGTTTGCAGCCTTTTTTCTTAAAAGAGAACATATTATAGAGTTTATATGAGAAACAGGGCAATGATTACTGTGCAACTGGACATTTTTTCACCACAAAAAAAAACAGTGTTTGTTATCTTGTTTCTAGTCAAAATTTCTAAAATAAATTCTTAAATAATCAAGATGCATTTACTAGATAAGCAAAATGGCACAAGATATTTAGTATTGTTTGGGGTTAAGTGCATTTGGCTTAAAATAAGTAACATTATCTGCCAGTGGGGTAAGAAAAAAATTATTGTTTTAAGTGCATTTTACTTACCCCACTGGCAGATAATTGTACTTGTTTTAAGTAAAATTCACTTAATTTGGATTCCCCACCCAGCAAGAAACAATATTAAATATCTTATGTGATTTTGCTTATCTAGTAAATGCATCTTGATTTAAGAATTTCGATATTTTGACTAAACAAGACAAAAATACTAAGATACGCCTTTTTTGCAGTGTTCATACAGTATATTGTAAATTTCTAAAATGTTACAGACATATCAGCATTGTGTCAGAATGAGTACAGTGTGCGCTAAACAAGTCCATGTCCAACCACAGTACACAAGAGTGATTTCACACATCATTGTTTTATGAAACATGTCAGTATACAATTCATAATGTGATGCTATCATATCTCGCTGCAGACTTCCTGTTTGCACCTTCATTTTGCATCCTCTCCCGACTATCACTTGCAATAAGAACAGCTAAAATACAAATAAACACAGACACGTTAACAGAACACAGGCTGAAAAAGTTATTGACTGTATACAGCAGACAGTAGTCACAGGAACTTGGCTAATTTCTAATGTGGAGGTAGACATCCATTAGTCTGCTCTCCGCCAGCCGGAAGTAGGATCAATGTAACGGCTCACAACAGAGGGAATAGTAATTACAAAGAGAATTTCACGCTGAGCTGGAAGGACTCCAGCAAAACCCGGCAGTCCCGTGGACATTTCCTGCTGGCACAACATGATGAATGAAGTGGAATTGACATGAATAAGAAATAGATGTGCAAATAAGCCATTTTAATCGAGCTGAGTGCATGCACAATTAATGCATTATTGTTTAGTCAATTTGGCTCAAATAGTGGAGGAACAAATCATTGGTATTATTAAAGCGAATACAATTTATATTTTTATGTTTAATAATCATCTCATGTCCTTGTTTTATTTATTTGTTACATTCGCAAACTCTGTGTTTAACAGAGTGGATCAGGATAATCAATGTGTTATGTATTGTTTGTATGTCTAATTGTAATATATAAGAATTCCATTTAGAGTCCAATATGCGCTGAGAAGAACAACTTTATATCCGTTACTTTCATTAAGGTCCTCTCAGACGGTCTGTATGTGTATATATATATATATATATATTCTTCTTTATTTTATTTCATAGGGTTTGGAGTTTGGAGCACAGCTTCTTCTCTCCAAGTGCCATTTGGCAAAGTAAAAATATATAATGTGCCAAAAGGTACAACTAAATGTTGCACTCAATTTTGAAATGTACGAAGAAAGTAAATCAAAATTAGTTATTTTATTTAATCATGATGAGTTTTGCAAAGTGTTAAAAGATATGTGTTTACATATACTGTACCTAGTAAGGATTTTGAAAATCTTTTTCATATAATCTTTCAAATAAGTCTCTTATGCTCACCAAGGCTGCATTTATTTGATCAAAAATAGAGTACAAACAGTAATATTGTGAAATATTATTACAATTTTAAATAACTGTTTTCTATTTTAATATATTTCAAAATGTAATTTATTTCTGTGATACAAAGCTAAATTTTCTGCATCATTACTCCAGTTTTCAGTGTTGATCCTTCAGAAATCATTCTAATATACTGATTTGCTCCTCAAGAAATATTTCTTCTTATTATCAAATGTTAAAAATATAGATAATATATGATATGATATTTTTTTTCCAGAACACTTTTTCCAGAGCAGCCTTGATGAATAGAAGTATTATGTTTTTTGTTGTTTTTTTATTACTGATCCCAAATATTTGAAAGGTTGTATATATTTACAGTATTCATTCTCGTTGGTGTACGTGCTCTTTCATGCCCTCTGTAGGGTCTGTGCACGCTGCTGCAGCACAGTTAATTCCACTAATGCACTGCCTCACACACAAACACACACACAACAGTGTCTCTTTCCTCCTCAACAGTGCGCGCTCTGCTTGAAACTACACACAGCAACCGGTAATAAAAGTGACTTCAGAAAGCACATACTGTATGATCTCTCCTTTAACAGACTAAAGTGTTCTAGAATTGACAGAGTATATAATCTTGCATTACAGTTCATCAGAATCAGTGGTTTTATGTTTGTGACGAATTGCAGCTCCAAAAGCTTTTAAACTTTTCTTTTTCATAGAAAATATGTGATGCTGTTTTTTTGTTCAAAGTCAGCCTCTGAAAACAGTTAGAGCACATGATCTCCCAGAGCACACTGATTACGCAATTCACAACTTATGCAACAAGTGTATTAGTTTATCAGGGTCTGCAAAAGCTGAAAGTAATACATTGATGTGAATCTTTAAACTATAGAATTTATATTTCAGTATAATATGTTCAGAATTTCTAGAATGCCAAGCAAGATCAAAACTGTTGCATTGCATGCATCATTTTAGTTAGCCAAAAGAGCTTTTGATAACCAGTCAGATCTAAACTAATAGAATAAGCTGTTAACTTGTTTACAAGAAGAGCGAAATGTCATCCATACCACGGAAGATGTCTGTGAGCAATGCTTGATTTGTAATCTTTCTTGTAGGTGGGAGGTCACACCATGCTGCCCATACGCTGGATGCCTCCGGAGAGCATCATGTACAGGAAGTTCTCCACCGAGAGCGATGTATGGAGCTTCGGAGTCATTATGTGGGAGATCTTCACCTACGGGAAACAGCCATGGTTTCAGTTATCCAATAATGAGGTAAATGTTGACAAAACCATTGTTAGAACATCAGTGTGAATATGACATTTTTAGAACGTGAGTGTGATCTCTACAGGCGGGGTGTAATGCTGTCGGAGATCAGGTTAGAATCTCACCACACACACACACAGTTCGGCTGGGAAACCTTGTGAGCTGTCTACCTAGAAAGTATTTTAAGGCATCATATGTGCACTGACACGAGGGCTGTTAAAAAAGGTCGAATAGGTCCAAAGTCTGAATTATACATCCGTTTCTCGTGGATTCTCATCCTGTTTTACATTATGTCAAGCTCATATTCATATTAAGGCTCTCATAGTCTCTCTATATATGTGACCCTGGAGCACAAAACCAGTCATAAGTAGCACGGGTATATTTGTAGCAATAGCCAACAATACATTGTACTGTATGGGTCAAAATTATTAATTTTTCTTTTATGTGAAAAATCATTAGGATATGAAGTAAAGATCGTGTTCCATGAAGATATTTTGTAAATTTCCTACCATAGATATATCCAAATTTTTGATTAGTAATATGCATTGCTAAGGACTTAATTTGGACAACTTTAAAGGTGATTTTCTCAATATTTAGATTTTTTTGCACCCTCAGATTCCAGATTTCCAAATAGTTGTATCTCGGCCAAATATTGTCCTATTCTAACAAAACATACATCAATGGAAAGCTTATTTATTCAAATGTGTTATATTTAAAAATAAATATATGTTATATATTTAACTATTATATACCTCTTATTTTTAAATATTTCATAATATTTATTTAAAGAATTTATAAAATATAGTTCAGCCTAATTAAAAATAATTTAAAAAAAAAATGCATTACCATTCAAAAGTGTGTAAGATTCTGTAAGATTTTTTTTTTTAAATACTTATATTTAGTAAGGATGCATTAAATCCTGGGGAAAAAGCATCCTGGTTTCCACAAAAATATTAAGCAGCACAACTGTTTTCATCATTGATAAGAAATGTTTCTTTAGCACCTAATCAGGATGTGACACTGAAGCCTGCAGTAAAGATACTGAAAATTCAGCATTTCATCACAGGAATAAATTACATTTTGAAATAAATTAAATTAGAAAACATTTATCTGAAATTGTAATAATATTTCAAAATTTTACTGTAATGTTTGATCAGAAAAAAATGCAGCCTTAGCTTCTTTCAAAAACATTTTTTTACTTTTTTTTTTTTTTACGGACTCCAAACCTTTGAATGGTAGTGTATATGTGTGCTAAGTATCTTTATGCCTAATATTTTAGATTAGAATGCTAATACAAATCAATTGGGAGTTTAGTGTGAGCAAATTATGGGAATGGGACAAATAGAGAGTCAAAATCCCACCCAACATTTGACATTTCAACCAACATTGCTGTATCAGATTGATGCTCAAACCAATAGAGTCACAGTGTGCAACATGAGTTCTATTTGACTGAAATAGCATGAAAAAGTAAACACTCCACCTCTAAATCAATTGCACACATTTGCTCATTTCAGTCTCTCTCTTTTTTGCAGGTCATTGAATGCATTACCCAAGGTCGGGTTCTAGACAGGCCTCGCCTGTGTCCTAAGGAAGTGTACGACCTCATGTTAGGCTGCTGGCAAAGAGAGCCGCAACAAAGACTGAACATCAAAGACATTCAGAAAGTCCTTTATGCTCTGGGAAAAGCCACGCCTGTCTACTTGGACATCCTCGGCTGAGACTGGTGCGACGTCTCAGCAGAACCCAACACAATCCAGGAATAACCAAACAAGCCCTTTTCCCCGCGTCGGCGCTCCACTGTAAAACCACCAACACGACGGAGATGGACTTTAAGTGCCTGCAACACTTTTTTTCGATACACTGGGTATACAGAAAAAAAGTTAAAAAAACTAATATTTAAAAACAAACTTTTACATTTTGTTTACAGTATATAGTGTACAGAATTATTCTACAAAGACTACAAAAAAATTTCCTAATAAGTAATGGCGAAAGCAGAATGTTGCCTTCGGTGTGGCGGCACTGTGTTTGAGAAATTATGATTTTCAGTGTTTCATTTTATAAGCATATATACACACATATATGAATATATTTTTTATTTATTTTCTTTCTTTCATTTTGAAGGTAAAGTATGGGTGCCTGTCATGTTTAGTGCTGTTGATATATTATCTTTTCAAGACGGCTGCTCTTTGGTTCTGCTCTGCTTTAACAGCTGGGATTTTGTGAGGAAAGCCTTATTAGGTTTCGATTATTTTGTCGCTGCTGCGGTCAGCATCCTTTTCTCTTATTTTTTTCTTCCTGCAACTTTGATTTGATGATCTATAGCTCTCAAGCGGGCAACTTGGAACCTTTAGAATACTGAAGCGTTGATATATTTTCATCATACGTGATTGTATATACTGTAAATTTATATTCTTGTCAACCTGTTAACTTATTTTATTTTTTATGTGTTTTGATTTCTTTTTCGACACGAGCGTTATTTTGTGACATACTCTTTAGAAAGGGTCAGCCAGGAGAGAACATAAATATCACACAGTATCTTAAAATGAGCACGTGGCGGCTCATTAATAATACAGGGTCTCTAATATTGTCGGAGGGAAATGCATCATGGCTGAGTCCAGTCTGTAACCATGCTGCTGTACTTTTCTGAAAACTAGAACTAAACTGCAGGTTCAAAGTCACCGAGATCCTAAAATGACACCTGTTTGAATCGATGTTTCGCAATCTTCATAGCATTTGATAAATATCAATGCCATCGCATCTAAAGTTAACGATTTCATGTTGTTGTCTGTAGCTAAACAGTTCTATGTTATTCCAGGGGCCGTTTCTCTGAGATGTTTGTTGATACGACACCAAATCTTTTTGATGTCAGGATTTCAATGTCAATGGATTCTCTTTCCTCTTTGCAGTACCACAGATATTTGCAAACGACATATTAAAATGTATGTTTAGATTAAGTGTTAAATAAATATCAGAACCTTGTCAAATCAAGTATTTCCTGTTCGTTGTGTTTAGGGTGTCCATTGTTGGTAATGGGTAGCTTAACCTAGCTAGTTTTGACTCTAGCTGTCATGAAATTCATTGTGATGGCTGGATATACCCTGTCTTTTGCTCTTAAGGCAAAGCAGAGTGAAATCTAATAGTTTGTGGCCACCATAAGCATTTTAACATCAGTGCCATACACTGTAGTGACTTGCTGGCTAGCAATTAACTGAGGAAAAAGCATTTGGGTCCTAACATATTTTAATGTGGCCATTTCTTTGAAAGTTATTTAGCAATATAATTCCTTGTTATAAAACAGTCATTTTAAAATATGTAGAATGGGCAAATCATGTCATGTATTCAGCAGCAGTGCATTTAGTTTATTCATGTGGAAACTGAAGCCATATGCAATGGCTGCATGGCTGTCAGGCTTAACAATTAACCATAATAACATCATTAAACCATTAAATGTAAAATATGCTCATACGCCTGTGATGGAAAAATTGTATGCTGTAAATGTAATGTTGCAGATTACGCAATTACCATATTTCATTATGCTTTATATGCGTCAACACTTTTGATACCTATTAGCAATCTAGGCAATTTAACATGTGCAATGCATCTACTTTAAGAAACATACCCAGGTCATATTTCACGCAAAAATTATTTAGCTTTTTTGTTTTTCTAAAAAAGTAAGCCTGTTTTTAGGTCGAATATATTTTGCATTGCATTTAAACACAATTAACCCCTAAATCTGATTAATAGTATATAATATATAGTAATGTAGTGTAATTAGCATGACAAGTACAAATGAGGACATGAAGAAAAGTCTTGTAGTTGCCCAAAGGGCTTAGTCTGTAAAAAGGACTTCCTGGTTCTGTAATAATTTGAGCATTACCGTTTCGACTGGACAACTAGAGATTACTCTGTCCACTGTATAATTTCTCTATCACACATGATGAACGTATGGCTTTTAAAAAGTTATAGCATTTGATACTCTACCCCTGACTGGAACTCTGTATATATGAGCCACTCACGTCTCGATGTGATTGACAGAGAACATCTTCATCTGCCTGAAGCAATGGTGTTATCATAATGAAGGGGGATTTTCAGGGAACACTGTGAAACCCAGCTGTTTCAGTATCAGTATTAAGTCCCTTAAGGGTGTACAGACTGAAAACTAAACCCACACTCCCTATTGCCTTCATAAACACAACACAAATGTGCACTGCAATACATCTGAGTTCTTATTATTCTGCTTTATTAGAACACTCTAGATTATTATTCATGGAATCATGACAGGTATGAAGCCAGTATTATAGCATAGATGCCTACAATATATTAAGATTAAACTGAAACGAACTTCAAATAAAATTAACAAATAAAAAAAAATCACACCACTGCCAAATTACCAAGACCATTGCCTTAAAAGCTATTTAACCACTTTTCCAGCTCACTTCAAAAATCTAGAAAGCCTGCAATCATTCTCCATTTTAACTGATTGTTCTCTTTAACTAAAATATTACTATAATGCGATTAAAATCATGTAATCCTTGAGGGAGTTTAAGAGCTTTTCTAGACTCATCAGAGTGAGTTTCTCATATTGGGCAAGCAGACAGTGGGGTAAAATATGCCACTTTGTGTTTTATTTATCTCTTCTACTGTGTAGCTAATGATAGTAAAGTGCCAAAATAAATTTTAGCTTTTCATGATCTTAGTCTGCCTCTTAAAATTAAATGGTCCTATTTGGATGTTATTTGCTGTGTCTTTATGAAAATCCTCTTTCACATGTTAAAAGGTGAGTATGAGGACATTACAATGGGAAGAAAGAGCACATATAATAGATTAGCTATTTTCGTAAAAAAATAAATAAAAAAATGGGCCTCATTTATAAAATGTTGCGCAGCAAGCATCTTAAATTTGATCTTACGATCATCTCTCAAATATGCTTATGTGTGATTCATAGAATGAATTTACGCACAGAAAACACACGTACGCCTCTCTTTCAGATGTGAAATCTATGAATCGCAAATGATCTTGAACTTGCGGGCAACTGAATTGTTTCAAACAACTCCTAATTAATGTCATTAACATATAAAAGATCACCAGTCGTCATCCAAATCCTTTAATTTAGAGCAGCGAGCTGCAAGAACAGCTTACATTTCCAAAAACCTGCAGTACTCCGACAAGAAAAAGTGTGTATGTCTGCTCAGAACCTGATGTGACGCTCAGCACTATTCCACGTCAAAGGCAGTTTTTACAAATATGAGTGTTGGCGTGGATTTAAGCATACGCACACTCTAAGATAAAATCTGAGCATACACACACTTTATAAATGAGGCCCTTACGATTTTAACCTGGTAAATGAATGCTGTCAAAGTGTCCTATTTTGAAAATCACAAGCCATATATGCAGACCAGATTATGGCTCTTTTGACTTGTGCCAGTATATAACCTCCTAGCAACCACTCTGAACTGCACAGAAACCAAATCAAAACCACGTTTAAGAAGACCATCTACACAGTCAAGGTCATGTTTTCTTCATAAATTAAAAGATCTAGTTAATCTGAATTATATGCTTGTCATGATAGTCAGAAACATTCTGAATCAAACATGAAGGAAAAGACAATATCAAAAAAGATATCTGACAAACCTAACAAAATGCTTCTCCATACAATAGTTAAAAAAAAAAAAAAAATAGTGCACCCAAATAAATTAAAATTGTCTGAAAATGCACTTAGGCCATGCAAGATATAAACAAGGTTTTTCTGCATCAGAAGAGATTTGGAGAAATGTAGCATTTCATCACTTGCTCACCAATAGATCCTCTGCAGTGAATGGGTGCCGTCAGAATGAGAGTTCAAACAGCTGATAAAAATATCACAATAATCCACAAGTAATGACTCCAGTCCATCAATTAACATCTTGTGAAGTTAAAAGCTGCATGTTTGTAAGAAAGAAATTAATCAAGGCATTTTAATGTTAAACCATTTCTGGCTAAAACAAGAGTCCATAATACATACTAATGCATCCTCTAGTCAAAAAGTCCATCTCCTGTTGTCCTCTCACACTAAAATCCATATTTGTTTAGAGCTGTTTTGGACTGTTGTCGCTGGTAAATGGTGCTTCATCTGTGCATATTTTTCTCCTGATTCAGAAATGGTGACTTTTTCACTAAAGAAAGCAGCATTATGGATATAAGACTATTATGGAAGAAGATATTTGAAAACAATGATCTGAAGTTTAATACATCTGAATGATTGATTTGTTTCTTGCATGCAGCTTTAATTCACAAGATGTTAATTGATGGACTGGAGTGGTGTGGATTATTGTGATGTTTTTATTAGCTGTTTGGGCCTTTATACTGACAGCACCCTTTCACTGCAAATGATTCATCGGTGAGCAAGTGATGAAATGCTAAATTTCACAAAATCTGTTCCGATGAAGAAACAAAGCCCAAAACCTACATCATGGATGGCCTGAAGGAGAGTACATTTTCAGCAATTTTTTTTCCTAAAGAGTTTGCTAAAGGCTGAGCAATACATCAAAGGTAATGAAAACTAAAAGTCTGCACTTCAACCCCGCAATCATTACACCATTGCATAGTGACAAGTGTTAAAAGTTTTAAAGCACAACACTGGCAGAAGTAACCACCCGACACACATTACGGTCATATTAAACGCTTAGTTTGGCAGGTAAAAAATTGCTCCCAAGAGAGCGACCCTATTTAGAAACACTATATCTAGATTAGTGATGACAGAATATTATGAATTATTGCATGCAGTTGCACCATAATCAAGTGTTACATTTATTCAGTGTAACTCTGACTCCAATTTTTGAACTGGTGAATAAAAAAGAGGGGATAGAAT